CCTTGCTAACTCATGTCCTTCCAGAACAGGGAAGTTTTAGCTCTTCAAGGCGTATGTTTTGTGGCTTTGTTTTATAAATGTAAAGGTGGCAGAAAAGTCATATTCCAAGCTGCATGAATGTGGCTGAGGCTGGCCATGTAGGCTGCATCCGTCTGGGTGAAGGCCAGTGACAGTGAGGAAAGCAGTAAGCCCTACACTGGCCTGAAGGCTGCCACCCTCCGCTTTTCATGCTCTGTTAGCCACTGCAGCGGGAACACCAGGGTCTTTCCTCGGAGCCAGGGGATCCAAGCTGAATCCCCACAGCCCAGCTGTACGCATAGCATCGCCTGTCAGAGAACACTCCTCCTCTGGGGTCTGCAAAGTGGTTCTTTTAGAGGTGTGACTTGTATGCTCTCAAACTGACTTACCATGAGGGTAAAATTTTATTCTTCTATGAAACTCACTAAGTCATTCCACTGTCACCACAAAACGATTCTAGACTATTTCTCTTGCCCCTAAAAGATCCTTCATGCCACTTGGCAGTAGATCTTTGTTCCTAAACCCCAGCAACAAGGCAACCACTAACCAGTTGCAAGTCTACTTGTCTTATTTAGCTAGTTTAAATAACTGTAATCACACAGCTTGTGGTCTTCCTGCCTGGGGTTTTTCCACTTCATCGAGTGTTTCTAAAGTTCATCCAAATTATAGCCTGTTCACTGATCATATTATATTTCATTGGAAGGGCATGCCACACTGTTTATTGCACTGATGGACATTTTAATCATTTTTGTTTGGGGCTGTTATGAATGATACTTCTTGATTCCTAGTGAATTATATAGATGACAGAAAAGCTTCAAATTTGCAGGCAGGAATCCTAGGTTAGACATTGGCCGCCCTCATTAGCTGTAAGACTTGTTTCCTCCTGCAGAGTGGAGCCACTTAACCTCTTCCCTGTTCTGTTCCTAGAATAGTTACAAAAATCAAGAAAGATGATGTATGTGAAATGCTCTATGAACTCTAAAACAAAGGACAATCAAAGGCATCACTACTAATTGTATTAAAATGAACTAGATGTTTCTCAATATTCCTTTCATATTCTTGGAATAAATGACAAAGGCATTGCACTGTAGGAAGTATCTACACATTTTTCTCATGGGCTTGGGATCCTCACTATATTTTCTTTATCAACAGCTGTTCTTTAGAAAGATGTTAATGCCATTCTATCTCTCTTAAATTCACTTTTTAAAAACCTTGCTGTAATTATCCAATAAAAGGCTTTGTTTCCTATTGAACGGGGGGTTTTCATAGGCCTGAGAATCACTGGCAGAAGTATATAACTCAGTGCAGTTGATCAAAGATCAACTGATAACTAAGGTTTTTGTCAGTGTACCCTCCAACCCACAAGTTAGCTTCATGGGGTGACTTCACAAGAAAGCACTGGGTAGAGGCCGAGGATTCTAATGCATCAAAACCAAGCCTCAGTAAATGCTGATGCTTTCCAATGAAAGATGACTAAAAGTATTGCTGCACTGAAGCAATATCAAACTAGCTGGATATCTATATCTTTAGGGATATCAGACATCCCAGAACATAGATAATTGGCTTGTGTGGGTGTCATGCATGGCATTTAACTTCCACAAAGCATGTAATTAGTTTCCTTGAAAAGAAAAAAATCTTGTGAAAGGGAAATAATTTGTTCAATGGGAAGGAAAACCTGAGAGAAGAAAAAGGACAAATGAAACAAGGGAAAATATATTAAGGTATATATGCAGAATAGTTTGGATAATCATACAGCTGGTTTCTGCTGGTATTTTGAAAGAAGTAGTTAATGCTTGAATTTCTTTCATTTTATTCTTATTTTTTTCCTTCTGAATTTCTTACAACTTTTTTGTTATTGTTTTGTTTTGGTTTTTCTTTAAACTAATTTTGCACATTTATATCTGGTAACTTAAACAACTAATTTGAAGATACCGTCATGCAATACAGCAACCATTGTTGAATTCCTATTACTTGATTTAGCAAAATTTTGTGTCATTTCTAATGCTGGTTCTTTTTTCTATCCCTATTTTGCATTCTTTAAATTATTTTTTTTAAAAATGAAAAAGAAAAATCAGACTTTGCTGAAATGACCAGATATCTGTGCCTTCCACTCACTCACCCAAAAGCAAGGTAATACCCAGCATCACAGGCTGCTTCCATGAGGTTTTACCCCAAATCTCTTTACAGATCCCAGCATGGAAGATTTACAAGGTACGAGCAATGACTGCTGCATTTACTGGAATCTGAAGCACAGAATGTGAGTCCCTGTCCAGGGCCTTTGGAGCAATCACTGGCCTGTTGAGTGTCAGAACTCAGATGCTCCCAGTGCCCAGATTCAAATTACTAGACTGTCTCTTTCTGAAGACAGCAAATCCCCAGACATCTCCAGCACTCCCTGGTGTTATCTAATACAGGTCACTGAGGTCAAATGAGTCTACTGTTTCTACACGCCTTTTCCTCTTTCTCCCTCTGACAATTATTGAATGATCAAAACTTAAAAAGCAAAAGAAGCTTGAGAATGTGAAGCAGAAGGACCACACATTTGAGGCTACCCTGTGCACCTTAGTGAGTTAGTGAGACTCCCGCAAAAAGAAAACGGTGGTGCTGAAGATGTAGTTCTTTCTTTTTCTTTTTCTTTTTCTTTTTTTCCTTTGGCATAACCTGGGATTGAACTCAGGCCCTTGTGCTTGCCAGGCAAGCACTTATTCTACTGAGCCATCTCCCCGGCCCCAAGATTCAGTTCATTGTGAAGATTCTGAGTTCAATCCCTAGAACCACAAAAATTAAGGAAAGAAGGGAGAACAGACAAAAAGTAAGTGAGGTGTTATGTGGCATGGGCCATGTTTTGCTGTCTCCATCTTGTGTTAAAGAATGTAACGATCCTGGTAGGATGCCCATGTGTTCCTAACATTATTTTCCAGATTCTAAGCAGCTGACTATCTGAGGCACTGCACCATGAGTCCAAGGCTCTTGCCGTGTAGCTCTGGCTCTGGCAATACCACTGTGTGGTAATAACAGTGAGAGCTTGAGTTTACATGTGCTTGTTCTACGTTGGAGATAGTGCACTTTTGTCTTGCTCAAATCAAGAAGCTAATGATTTCTACTTTGAAAATCTATAACATAGGTATTGTATGTTACCCTGTTTCTGTCTTTTTTTCTATTGGTTTTTGCCTCTGTTTTTACTCTTCAAAATAAAATAAAATTAAATTTAAAAAAAGAAGTTAAAGATTTAAGATTGGTTCAAACCAGGTCCAAGTCTATATTTTAATGAGATTTATTTGTATGTTTCTTTAGGACAATATAAAGGTAATCGGTATTTATTGTACATTTTTATGTATTCAAATTGAAAATGAAATTATGTATACTTGTGTCATAAAATATGTTTTGAAAAATGTGTACATTGTGGAAAGGTTAAACAAAACTATTTAACATATGAATTACCTCACATACTTTATTTTTTATGGTAAGAACATTTAAAATCTATTCTCTAGGGGCCGGGAGATGGCTCAGTGGAATAAGCACTTCCCTGGCAAGTGCAAGGGCCTGAGTTCAATCCCCAGTTCCGCAAAATAATAATAATAATAATAATAATAATAATAATAAATAAAAAAATAAAATCTATTCTCTTAACACCTTTCAAATGTACAGTGCCTTGTTGTTAGCTATAATCACCAGGTTATGTGGTAGGTCTCTGTCACTCATGCTTTCTGATACTTCATTTCCTTTGGCTAGCAGTTCCCTAGTCGTCCTCCCACCTCCTGCTCCCTCATAAACACCATTCTACTTTGTGCTTCTGAGTTTGTGTGCTTTCATTCTCACACGGAAGTGAGATCTTGTAGTAGCTGTCCTTCTGTGTCTGGCTTACCTCACTTAAATGCAAATCTATTTGAATAAAAAGTATATGGCCTTGCCTACCGCATTACATATGAAACTGCAGTAAGATGACAGTACAATGCATTATGTATATTATATATGGACATATATATTATATATATATATATTCCATTTTATCTAATGCACAATTTGATATAGCTTAGGATGTTTGTCTTAAATAATGTCTGATTTGGAGGGTGGTTATATACACAAGAATAGTATGATTTGAAAGCAAAAATTGGGTAGGAATATCCAGTTAAAGGTTGTGAGAGTAAAAAGGCTTAGGTGTAGTTCTCTGTGTTATGAAAGACTCTGTCTTATGGCTCCCATGCCTTCTGCCCCACTTGTACTGATTTTTTTTTTTTAATATTCTGCAACAAATGGGGCATTACCTAGGAACACCTGCTACATATTCAACTAGTTTCATGTTTCTGCACTGTCCTGTGATGGTCTGGAAACATGTCCTGTGACCAGTTACAATGATTAAACCACATTCTTCAAGAGATATTTGGTTTCAGTGTGCCTGAAAGGTTTTTGGCCAGAAACAGTGGTACTGTTTGATGATGACCAGCAGAAAGATCAACAAAACACACTCGAATGACAGTTCAGATCCGCTCTTTTCCACTGGACTCTCTGTAGGACACAGAACAAGATCCACAGAGACTACAGCAGCTACAGACAGCTTGGCAGCGGGGGAATGGCACCCAGCCCGAGCACGGCAGGCCGTGGTGGTTACACTGGCACCACTGCAGAATGCCTGGCCTCGTCTGGGCTGATTGGAAGGAACAGCTGTTGTCCTGTCCCGGGTAAAATGACACACTCTAAGAGAAATAGAGCCCTGATTAGATAGGAATTAATTCCTCTTTCCATCAGCCTTCTTAAAAACAAAAACACTGGCAAAAAAAAAGTCCAAAATGTGGAGAGCAAAAAATCCATTTGTTCGAGATACAGCAATTGCTTTGAATCTTAAGATAGGTGTTTTTACTGCTTTACAAATGCTAGCAGAACGAATTGCAGAGCAAATGGCAGGTGCAGTTAATTTATATTTTTACAACCAAGCATTTTTAAATGTATTTATACAAAACACACTGAGAAAATGTCAAAGTTTTGGTGTACAGTTTAACATCTGAAGTATCATATAACAGACTTACACAGTCAGTATTAACTTTTATTTATTCATAGATATATTTGCAGGTAACAAAACATTTCAACCACAACTAAGCCACATAGGAATCAAGAAGCCATGTACATAAAACATTACAGTTCAAATTAAATATATTAAAGTTTAATTAGTATAAACTATAGCCCTAATTAAGCAGCATTTTATACTTATGTTTTAAAGATAGCTGACATTAACTACAATTGAAAAATGTACAAACCAGTGAGGCACTACTATTAAAAAAATACAGTTATGCAAGATACAAATTAAAATATAAGAAATACACTATTAAGATCTAAGAATAATACACTTAGATAGTCACATTACTAATATTATCCAACCAATTCAGAAATTTGAAAGTGTCATTTCACCATGAGGTCACTGATTATTTTTGTCTGGGTCTTGTATAACATTCATGCTCTAGGGAATGTGTTTGGCCCTGAGGAGAGACTGGGGAACAGACAGATGTAGAGCCTGCCCTTGCAGAGCTTGCAGTCTAGTGGGGAAGACAGATGGGCACAGAGTTTCCTGCAGTGCAAGAGGACAGGCACTGGGGAGGGGCCTCCCCTTCTACAGGAAGCGGCATCTCAGTTGAGATCTGAGGGAAAAGGCAGAGAGGCAGAAAGAAATGGAAAGAAGAATGCACACAGAGGGAGAGGTAAAAGTACAGGCCTGAGGTTCAAAAAACCTTGATCTATTCTACACCAGTGGTTCCCATGCAAAGATTCTCATAAAACTCACTGGACCACAGTGAAATTCTCACTCATCTACAGGAAAAAGATAGCAGTGTTAAGCGTTTCCAGCACTAACGCCATTCAGTTTTAATGTCTCAGTTTACAACTTCTTACCTTCCAGCATTCTTATAAAATGATGGGGATAGGAACGGCATTTTAAAAAAATACATGACCTAATTTTAGAATGAAAAAAGCAAAAACTAATTACATATAAAACTTTAAAATCAAGGAATCACTGTCAAGAATAAACCTCTGAACACATATAATTAAAGGGATGGTGGTAAGAGACACATCAAGAGATAAGGCCAAGGAGAAAGGCAGGACTTAGAACACAAAGGGCCAGCTGAGAACTTTGGATGTTATTCTATGAGAAATGAGAATGGTTTTAATGATTTTAAACTCCAGTTACATTTATAAAAGGAAATTCTGGTATTCTGGGTGTCGAGTATGTATGGGATAGGGTAAGACAAACACAAGCAAGCAGATGAGTGTCACTGTGTCACCCAGGAAAGAGCTCATAGTCAGGCTTAGGATCAAATTGATGAGACAGATCAGAAAAAGATAATTTCAAGAGATAAACTTAATGGGATAGGTGATTTGTTATAATGGCTGAGAAAATGGGTATTGTTCACTTGGGGACACATTGAATTTGAGGTCTTTGGCTCAAATGTCCATTGGGCTATTCGGCTCTACTGCGCTCAAGCCCTTGAGCAAGAGCTGAGGCTGGAAATATGCCTTGGGGTCACCAGCAAAATGATTGCAATCATGCAATAGATGAATCGTCTCAGAGAAAACATAACTAAAGGATTGGCAGCGGATGGCAAAGTGAAAGAAGACAGACCAGCTGAGGAGGTAGGACCAGAGCCAAGCAAAATGGTCTCTGTGTAATGAAAACCAAGGAAGGAGGCGCAATTTCAAAGAAGCTGCAGCCAACAGCACCAGGTGTGGTAGGCATCGACGGAGAGCAGCTGAGAGGTGCTCGTTGGATTGAGCGACAAAAAGGTTGTCAGGAGCCTTATGAGGGCTGTGCATGCCGCAGACAGGAAGCCACAGAGAGGGAACCTGCAGGCAGGAAGGGGCTCTTTCACACGTTGACCTTCCAAAGACAGAGGCGAAATGGACCCCACAGCTGGCAGGGATGTAGGCTTAACAAAGCAGTTATTTGCTTTCTGAAACATAAAAAGTCATTTCTGGTTATTGTAGGAGCCAGTTGATGGGGAGAATTTGAAAGTTTGTGGCAGGTGACAATAGTCACTATATATTCAAATACAGTATAAGACATTGACTAGCTTTTAAAAAGTCAATGTCTTTAACATACCCATAAGGATACAGTATACCTATACCATTGTCAAAAATGGATTTAAATACACTTAAGGGTGTAAAGTGCTTCCAATAAATTCTCACATTTTAAAGGAATCACATTTTAAAATATCTTAGAAATCACATTTTAAAATGTTATTCTTAAGTTATGGCAATTTTAGCGCTTGTCCATAGAGATCATACTCTTTAAATAATATATATCTTTGCACAGCTGGTGGTAGAGGCAGCTTCTCCATGGAGGCCGGCTGGCTGAGGCGCTGGAGTCCCACAAGTCTTCGAATTTTTAACCGACATAAATGCTTTAGCGAACAAGGATTCTCTAAAATAAATGAGGGGACGAATGGAGACAAGCAAAAATTATGAATAATATTAGTGGATTGACCTGGGTGCTACAGATTGCTTCAGAGTACCATGAAAAAGGTCACTTTGAAAAGTGTGTGGGCATACTTTAACAAATGGCGATTTGAACTGAAATCCATACTGCAGTTAAGTATTCTAGAATACTCTCAGAGAATGTAACTCCACGAGGGCAGAGACTTTGTCTCTGTGCCAGGAACAGAATATTTGACTGTGGTGGAGATTTAACTACGTGAATGCTCACACCTCCTCATGCTTAATTAAGGTTAAAAAATTTAGAACTGAATCATATACAGGTACATTTCGTCACTTCCTTTCTCCCTACCAACCCAAGAAATATCAACACCAATGATTCCATGAATCGTTTATAGCTCAGCCTGAGTTTTGTTTCCAGTATCTTCTAGCTCAACATGGCATAGTTAAAAATATACTGATTATTCAAATATGTGATGGTAGCCATTATTTTTAATACTCACTTTATATTATAATTACAATACTGGTGTAAGATACCAGCAAATGAACCCATGAAAGGGCAGTACAGAACACAGGCTTTCACGTCTTTATGCCCTCAACTTAAAATCCTGGCTTGGTCACTTAATACTCATCCACCCTCCAGCATATTGTTTAATCTCTGTCATTTAAATATTCCCATCTATGACTTGTAGATAATAATGAGACCTACTTACAGGATCATTTGAATATAAACAATTTAATTTATATAAACTGAGAGAAAAGTGCTTGGGTACATGGTAGCCATGTAATAAATGTTAACTATTACCAGTTCAATAGTAAAATTGATCACGGTTTTGACATTCTTGAGAATATAAACATTTGTTATTTTTTTAAACGTAACACAACAGTTTCCAAAAATTATTGAGGCAGAATAATTGCTACCAAAACAGACAGGAAAACATTCACTTTTATAAACAACGATCCCTATTTTTCCCCAGCACTGACACTGCCTTACTTATACCTAGAGGAATCTTGCCATCCAGTGGTTGATCAGGATCATCACAGGCAGTAACACATGATTCCAACAACAAACACCGTCCTAGCTGCATTCTTAGTTAGAGTGTTTTTGAAAGTCATTGGAATCAGGGGTTCTTTGGCAATAAAAACATAAGGATAATTAATTCCCCTGCAGAAGCAAAATCTATGCTATCTAGCCTGGACATTAGCATTGTAGAAGGAGCCTGTATTTCGATATAAGACTTAAAAGGGTTCAGATCTTTGCTTTGTTATTTTTCTATGACTGTACCTTTCAGAAATTAATTTTTCTAAGCTTCAGTGGCCTTTTTCTTTTTGTAGTCTCAATACTGCCTCAATTTTTTATTGAACACTAAGATAAATATAAACAATTTACATGCATTGTTCCATAAGTTATTTTACATTAATTTTTAAAAAATTGCCTCCCAGGTCTTGAAACAAAACTTTGCTGCCCACCCCAGAATTTCCTCTACAGCCCTGCCAAAGGTACTCTTCCTTCCTGCCCAAGTAGCTACTATTCTGACCTGGGTGTCCTATGCCTCCACTGCAGTATTGACAACACCTTAATTTTTTTTTTTTTTCAGAACCAGGGATTGAACTCAGACCCTTGCACTTGCCAGGCAAGCACGTATTCTACTGAGCCATCTCCCCGGCCCCAACATCTCAAACTTTTCGATGTGTCTTTTAAGCTTCTTTTAATCTGCAGGGTCTCCATTCCTCTCTCAACCCTCTCCTCTTTGAAGAACCCAAGTGCTCTGTGTCTTCCCACACCCTGGGAAAGTCGACTACACTGATTGCGTTGTCTTGGTACTGCTCCAGGTCCTACGCTGTCTCCTCTAGTTCTTGAAAATTGATCGCTGGATTCAGAGGCTTGATCAAAGGATTCAGGTTTGATTCCTTTCGCAAAATGATGTTCTTTCTTCAGGGACCACATAGTACCACCTTAGCAGCTATTGTCTTCAATGACTATATCTATTAGTTTATGGAGAACACAAAATGGTCATCTCTATTCATATAATTTCTTTTTCATCTATTATTTGAAATACGTTTAAAAAAGGATATTTTCGTTCATCTACTCTTGGTGACTAGTGGCACAGCAATATAAATAAGGAAGAATGTAGAGCTTAAATATTTTCTTTTATTCATTTCTCAGATAAATTGATGTTCCCTTGGAGCTGACTAGTTTTTAAAAAGTTGTATGTTAAAATGTGGTGTGTATGTTTCAACTAATTGAAGTAATTACCCAATTGCAACTTAAATTTTGGCCACTGGGAGTCTGTTCATATTGGCTCCTGAATTCTCTGAACATGGTTCTGATCATTTCTGAGAGTATTTTTACCATCTGGTATAAAAGGTGCTCCAGGTTCTCCTTGCACATTTCTTCCTCAGATCTGGAGTCATCATTTCTCCCAGAAACTCTTGTTTCTTTTCTTTTCTTTTTCTTTTCTTTTTTTTTTTTTTTT